TGCCCCCCGATACCCTCCTGACACCCCCCGTCCCCTGACACTCCCAACCTCAGCATCCCTCATGGTCCCTGCCATCCCCAACATCTCCGGACCCCCAGCATTTCCCTGACCCCAACATTCACCATGGCCCTTGACATCCCCAACCCCAGCACCCTCTGTCCCCTGACATACCCTTAACCCCAGCATGCCCCGTGACCCCTATGTGACACACCCCAGGGTACAACCTGAACCACTAAACTGCTGTGTCCCCTTAACTCTCCAGCCCACGGTGCCTCTTTCACGGCCTTGCCAGTGACAAGCAGCCTCTCTAGGCTCTGCGCACACACAGCCATGAGCTTGTACAGTCACTCCCAGCAAAGTTACATGAATGGGCTCCCAACCACTCCTGAACTATGACCTGCAAATTCTTAGCCCCAGCCTTGCACCCCAGAAATGTGCATCTTACACTGCTCAGAACTCCCACCCTGAACAGCGTACGCTCGTGAATAGTTCATCGTTCCATCAAAGGGAATGATCGCGCACCAGCCTTTGTTAACCTGACTAGAGATTCCCCAAACACTTCAACTGGTTTAGATAAAACAATAAAACCAGTTTATTAACCAGAAAATGAGAGAGTTAAGTGATTATAAGTGTTAAGGCACAAAGGTCAGAATAGGTTACAGAAGAATTTTACCCAGGCTAATAGTTTTAAACCAAAAAGGTTTCTCTCACCCAAAACTTTCAGCAGTCCGTGCTAACTGGAAAGCCTCCCAACCAGGACCCCCCCCCCCCCCGTTCTCCTATTGTCTTTCAAGCGATCTTACTGCCGTGAGTGGAGGTGGGGGAGGAGTGGTAATTTGTGTGTTCTCTATTCTTATACCCCAACCCCTTGTGCTGGAAAAATCCTTGCTGAGTCATGGGGTTAGGCAGTTCCATTGCATACGTAGTCTGCAAACTGTCCTTCATATGAATTGTAAATTCTTTTGCCTATACCTTCCCCCCTTCTTTTGAATGCCTGATTAAACAGGTAATGGCTCTCTAGCACTTGTGCTCATTCCTTTTGTTTTTTTCTGGGGAGCTAGTCTATGAGTGTTCTCCAGAATTATATCATATTTTAGCCACACACATATAGTAAAATCTCATCATTTTACATGCAGTGCTTCTACATACATTTTAACGGGACAATGATGTTCAGTATATTATGAGTTTTTAAATTATACCTCACAAGGTATACTTTGTACAAAATATATCATAACCATATAAAAGTGTTAAACGTGGGGGTACAGGTTGTCACACCCTGATACTCCCAGCCCCAGTATCCCCCATGACCCCGACATCCCTAACTCCAGCATCTCCCATGACCCTGACCCCCAGTATCCTCAGCCACCGTGCAACCCCCACACTCCCAGCATCCCCATGACTCCACTCTGCCTCTGACCACCCCTCTGTGAAAACTTGTCATCATCCTTCTGTTGCTGCCAGTTGGTGTCCCCTCTCTCCCCATTTCTGTGTGTCCCTGCCTCCCCTCCCCATCTCTGTGCACCCCCTTTCTTCCCCACATCTCATCTCCCCCTCACTCCCCTTCCCTGTGTCTCTGCAGACTGAAGAGTGACAAGCATGTGAAGGCTGGGCAGTATGATGGGCTGGTTGAACTGGCCACTATCTGTGCCCTCTGCAATGACTCCTCCCTGGATTACAATGAGGTGAACGCCCCGCATCCTACCTGGACCACCCTGCACCTCCCAGATCACCTTGCATCCTCCCATTCCCTGCCCTGCCTGAGTCACCCTGAACCCCCCAAGTCTCCCTGCACCCCATTTCCCACTGCACCTGGCTCACCCTGAACCCCCCCATTCTCCACCCCACATGGGTTACCCTGCATCCCCCAGGTCATCCTGCACCCCCCCCATTTCCCACTCCAACTGGGTTACCC